TGGGGATGAAGACCACAACTCCCATCTCGTCATCTAACTATGCCTTTGTCTCTGTTTATTTTGAATACTCGCCCTCTAGTGGCGTAAATTACATATTGTGCCTTTAATACACAATTGTAATAAAGTTTTCATGTTTTGTATACGAATCTGAGCTATTTTTATTGTGTGTGTGGGGGTGTGTTTGTTTTCTTTCAAGTATGGTTCCTTGTTATGTTTGTGTTATAATTAAAATTCAATAAACCTAATTATAGAAAATAAATAAATATATAATATAAAAACAATGGAAGTCCTATATACTAATATAGTAGACTACTAATATTGTCAAATAAACGTGTGTGTGTGTGAATGCATAATCTTGTTTGTGACAATCTGTTTGTTTTCTCATAGGACGACCAAGAGGAAATAAAGAGCAGAAAAACAACAGAATCCCGTCCATAACAGCACCTGACCTGCAGCCCGACACATAAAACACACACACACACACACAACACGCACAAACACACGCACTCACACACACACACACACACACACGCACACGCACACTCTCACTCTCTCACACACACACTCACTCACACACACACACACACACACACCACGCACAAACACACGCTCACTCACAAACACACGCACTCACACACGCACACGCACACTCTCACTCTCTCACACACACACTCACTCACACACACACACACACACACACACCACGCAAAAACACACGCACACGCTCACTCACACACACACACACTCACACACAAACACTCACACACACACTCACTCACTCACTTACACACACACACGCTCTCTCACACACGCGCACACGCTCGCACGCACACACACTCACACACAGACACACTCTAATGTTAGCGGTGATCTGTGTATATGAGCATCTGAGCACATGAACAGTGTTTAACAGTGATATGCTATTGTTCTGTTTTTATTCATTGTTTTCAAACGCTGGATTTTGATCATATTATGATCAGAGGGCTTCAGTTTGGACTTGTTCTTTTGTTCTGCTGGTTTTATTTTGGACTCATTCTGAAACGTGAAGATCAACCATGACAGCTGGCGATCTGGAGAACTTTGACTTCAATAAACTTTCAGCTGATCCAAACTTCATCTGCTGCTCGTCATCGAGTTTATGGGTTTCTGTTCTGAATCGAACTGTTCCTCAACAAAGGAACTAAAGGCGTGTGTTTGTGTTGGTGCTGATGTCAAGTCACTTTTATTTGTTTTAAGCAGCTCTCAAAAGCATAAATGAAAATACAGTCGCTCTTAAGTGAATATAAGCCGTTGCCAAAGGCTGATGTGAGTTTAACGTTTCTCACTGGTCACATAAGCAGAGATGGAAATTTAATCAGCAGTCATTTAAGAAATATAGGACACAGCTTTCATTTCGATTAGTAACGTCTCAGTATAGCGACAAGACAAGTTCCAGACAGAATTACTGTATCATGATGTCTATCTTTACAGTGGTTGAAGTGACTTGTATCAGCAGGGACTCATGTGATTCATGAAAACTCCAATGCGTTATTAAAGCCATCATTACAACATGAGCTTAATGACTTATGTTTTCATATTTTACTGATCAGTGGATTGTGTTCCAGATCAACTGCACATTTCTGCTTTAAACACTCAAACACATGAGTACAGAGACAGTGTTTTACTGTACAGAAGCTTGCTGTCACATACAGGCAGAACAGTATTACTAAAGCTCAGACAAGCACGGATCAAGGTTTAGTGTGAACGACACCAGCTCATGAAAGCATGTTGAGATTCAGAGTTTGGACTCCAGACCGTCGACATGAGTGCTCTCACGCTCGCCATCATCTACAAACAGACAATCAAATCAAGTGATCATTACTGCTATAAACACACAAACACACAGTCTGATAAAAAAAATACCTTCAGGAACATCCCAATTTGAGGCAGTTACTACTTTACCTTTTAACTTGGCATATTTGACAATACACTAAGGCGCTTATTGCACCATCAGCCCATTTCACAGCAAATGTTCTCCACCTGCTTTGAGAGTGCATTCAATTTGACATAAGTGCTTCATACTAGGGCTATTGCTCTAATAAAATACTAATTTTGGGCAGCTTTTACTTTACCAGTCTTATTTTATGGACCCTTAAACTTGGCATATTTGACAATACATGGGTGATTATTGCACTGTCAGCCCAATTTGCTATCATTTTTCTTAGAAATATTTGATGTTGTATTAAAGCAAACAGAAGAGCTACATATTAGGGCTATGGGTCTAATTAAATACAAATGTTGGCTAGTTTTTACATTAGCAGTCTTATTTTATCAACCCTAAAATTTGGCATATTTAACAATACACAGGCGATTATTGCGCCATCTGCCCAATTCACTTCATATTAGTACTACTGGTCTAACTAAATCCACATTTTGGGCAGTTTTAACACTACTAGTCTTATTTTATGGACCCTTAAACTTGGCATGTTTAACAATACACAGGTGATTATTGCACCATCAGCCCAATTTGCTATCACTTTTCTCAGCCGTCTTTAAGGACACCTTAAAACGAACATAAGGGTTTTATACTAGGGCTACTGCTCTAAGAAAATCCAAATTTGGGTGAGTTTTTACTTTACCAATCTTATTTTATGAACCCTTGAACTTGGCATATTTGACAATACACAGGCGATTATCGCACCGTCAAATTCACTATCACGTTTCTCTGAACTCTTTGATGATTTATTAAAACAGACAATAGCATTTGATACTAGGACTACTGTTCTAATCAAATCCAAATATTGGGTGAGTTTTTACGTTTCCAGTCTTATTTTATGGACCCTTGAACTTAGCATATTTGACAATACACAGGCAATTATTGCACCATTAGTCAAATTCACTATCACTTTTCTCGGATCTGTTTGATAGTGTATTAAAGCAGACATAAGGGCTCCATACTAGGGCTACTGCACTAATGAAATCCAAAGTATGGGCAGTTTGTACTATATTAATCTTGTTTTATGACCCTTGAATTTGCCATATTTGACAATACATAGGCACTTACTGCACCATCAGACCAATTAGTGACATTTCTCTCCCTCTTTTCAGGATGTGTTAAAGCAGACTTAAAGGATTCATATTTTATCATGAAACAACAGACGTGTGGTATGTGCTCATATTTGATGTGTGTGTGGGAGAGTGTGTGTGTGTGAGAGAGTGAGTGTGTGTGTGTGTGTTTCTGTGTGTGTGTGAGTGTGTGTTTCTGAGTGTGTGTGTGTGTGTGTTTGTGTTTCTGAGTGTGTGTGTGTGTGTTTCTGAGTGTGTGTGTGTGTGTGTGTTGCTCACCCAGTGTGTGTGTGTCCTGCTGCAGTAGTTTGGGTTTTTAGACACAAACAAAAAAGGCTTGACAGGTATGTGAAACAATGCTTGAGTTAGAATGTAAAAACAGAAGGGTTTGTGTGAGATTCTGTGACTGACCGACAGTATAAGCACTGAGAGACGAGATTTTAATTTCTGCTCCAATCAGACCAAACAAGAGCGGCTGAAAGATGTCCCAAAACCGGCCCACCACCGCCGCCACTGGAGCCTGAACACACACACACAGGTTTGTTTTTATGGTTTATGGGGACTCTCCATAGGCGTAATGGTTTTTATACTGTACAGACCGTATATTCTATTGTCCTACACCAACCCTACCCCTAAACCTACCCCTCACAGGAGACTTTCTGCATTTTTAGATTTTCAAAAAAAGTCATTCTGAATTATTTATAAGCCTTTTGAATTACGGGGACACAGAAAATGTCCTCATAAATCACCTTCTCGTTGTAATACCTATGTCACACCCATGTTATTATACAAATTTGTGTCCTCATGAACCACATAAACATGCACACACTCACTCACACACACACACATACACACACACACACAAACTCACAGACAGACAGACACACACACACTCACACACACACACACACACACTCACTCACACACACACACATACACACACACACACAAACTCACAGACAGACAGACACACACACACTTACACACACACACACACAAACAGCTGTAATGTGGCCTTCAAGGGAAGTCGGAAGTGTCATATTTAGGAGCTCTGACCACATGAATGACGAGTGAAAGCAGAACTCTAGCAGTCGGATGAGAGATCTGAATGTTCCTAATGAAGTGACAGCGAGTGCAGAACACAGTCTAAACTAGACAGTCGTGGAGAAGCTCTTTCACCTTTTGTTCTGCCCAGCTGAGTCCAGCGATGAAGGCCAGGACGAGTGTGCAGAGACCGCCGGCGCCGCCCAGACCCGCGGCCAGACTGCCGAAAACACTGAACACGGACAGACCCAGCAGCAGACCGCAGCGCCGCAGCACCACATCTGACTGCACACACATTCACTTCACTAGATTAATAAGCACATCTCATTTCATCTCAAATCAGTCAAATTTTAAAAGTGTATCAAGCTCCAATTTCTGATTTTATTAATATTTTTTCTAAAGAAAGATAAACACGTATAGTGATGAAAGCCAAAATATTAAATGTCATGCATGTATATTTACAGAGTAATGCACTATTTTGTAGATATTCAGAGATTTGGAGCCAGATTACAGAGGGTTAAATGACTTCAGAAAGATGGCAGCATCATGATGTTATTTTCACACAGAGATTGGCAGCTCTGTTAGTAAAATCTGATGACTTTAGCAATCTGTGTTGCATTATACATTTACATTTAATCATTTAGCAGACGCTTTTATCCAAAGCAATTTACAAATGAGAACAATAGAAGCAATCAGACCGACAAGAGAACAACAACAGTATACAAGTGCCATGCCAAGTCTGATTTAGTCTAGCACAGTACACGTAGCTAGGGTGCTTTTTTTTTTTTTTTTTTTTTACAATGGAATGGAATAGAACAGAACAGAATAAAATAGGTAAGTGTTAGTATTACTTGGTCAGGTGCTGGCGAAAAAGATGTGTCTTTAGATGTTTTTTGAAAATGGCTAAAGATTCAGCTGCTCGAATTGAGATCGGGAGGTCGTTCCAGCAGCCGGGCACAGTCCAGGAAAAGGTCTGTGAGAGTGATTTTGTTCCTCTTTGGGATGGCAACACAAGGCACAGTTCACTTGCAGAACACAAGCTTCTGGAGGGCGCATAAGTTTGAACTAGCGAGTTTAGGTATATTGGTGCAGCGCCAGTGGTGGTCTTGTAGGCAAGCATCAGTGCCTTGAATTTGATGCGAGCTGCTACTGGTAGCCAGTGTAACCTGATGAGGAGAGGAGTAACGTGAGCTTTTTTTTGGCTCATTGAAGACCACTCTCGCTGCTGCATTCTGGATCAGTTGCAGAGGCTTGATAGTGCATGCAGGAAGGCCTGCCAAGGGAGCATTACAATAGTCCAGTCTGGAGAGAACAAGAGCTTGGACAAGGAGTTGTGCAGCTTGCTCTGACAGGAAGGGTCTAATCTTCCTAATGCTGTATAAGACAAAGCTGCAGGACCGGGCCGTTGTAGCAATGTGGTCTGTGAAGCTTAACTGATCATCGATCACAACTCCTAGGTTCCTGGCTGTCCTGGAAGGAGTTATGGTTGATGAACCCAGCTGTATAGAGAGGTTGTGATGAAGTTCTGGGTTGGCTGAGACCTTGAGCAGTTCTGTCTTAGCAAGGTTGAGCTGAAGGTGATGGTCCTTCATTCAGTCAGAAATCAGACAGGCTGCAATGCGACCAGCTACCGTCGGATCCTAATTATGACATGTAGATGGAGAAGAGAAGTGGTCCAAGCACTGAGCCTTGAGGAACCCCAATAGCAAGAAGTTGTGCCTTAGAAACCTCACCCCTCCAAGACACCCTGAAGGACCTACCTGAGAGGTAAGACTTGATCCACTGGAGTGCGGTTCCTGAGATGCCCATCTTCATGAGGGTGGACAGGAGGATTTGCTGGTTAACTGTGTCAAAAGCAGCAGACAGGTCCAGCAAGATGAGTACTGAGGATTTGGAAGCTGCTCTTGCCAGTCTCAGGGCTTCAGTAACCGAGAGCAGGGCAGTCTCAGTTGAGTGGCCGCTTTTGAAGCCAGATTGTTTTACAGGAGGTTGTTCTGTGCAAGAAACATAGAGAGTTGGTTGAACACAACTCGCTCAAGTGTCTTTGCAATGAATGGAAGAAGGGATACCTTCTAGGGGTAGTTTTCTAAAAGTGCTGGATTTAGAGAGGGTTTTT